AAACAGAGTCAGAAGACCTTTCTGCAATAATCATGACACTAGTGAAGACGATGAGAAATCAGGCGTAAAAATGGTTCGCTACATGTGATTGTAACTATGTTTTTAATTAGGGTGAATGTATTAGTGATCATGATGATGAAGATATTGTACTGAGAGACTTATGAATGATAGTCACAAGTGTGGTAAAATAGTTTATTGATTATGTGTGTAATTGTTACTTTTCCTTAGAATTTTTGATGCGGAAGATTATTCTGGAAATATTAGTATAGTAGGTGCTCCTTTAATTCATATTAATTTATTAATTTAGCAAGGCCACTAGTATACATTCTATAGTTACCTTATCTCACTAAGTTTCAAGACAAGAATATCTTAGGTTTGTTTAATTTCATGTGAAAAGCTAAATTCATTATTCAGGTTGTGATGAACTGAAACTTTCTTGTTTAAAGCTCTTGTTAAGGTCAGTTTAATCATAGTGTTTTAATTTATTATCATCATTTGTCATTATAGTTCACTTCAAATAGCATTGAATTTTTTTGTGAACCTGCCTTCATCATGCTGGTTAAGGAAGGTATGTAGTTCCTTTGCTTATGTAGAATTTATGCCTCATTATAGTTATGTTATGGAACTAAGCTTTGTAGGACTATGTGTGACAAGATACCTTTGAAAGATCTGCTTCACTACATGGAACCAAGAGTTCATTAATGTTAGAGATTTTGGGAAATTAATTTCTCAGTAATGTAAGTTTATTATTTTAGTGCCTTCTTAATTTATGGCTCTTTAGGTGTCTTAAGTTACAAAACATGAAGTGTCTTACTTATGGAACATTGGTAGACTATGATAAAGAAAACAATTATAATCTTTTTTTGGTTTTAATAATAATTCCAAATCATTTTTAATTAAAAATCATTTTTAATTAATAATGAATAATAATTAAGTATTAATTAAGCATAACAGGAAGTACGTCATAATGAGGCTTGATGAATATCGTTATCGTTGTCGGATCAGGTCTGGCACCAGCATAAATCGTGGCTGATTTGTCAATATCGGATCAGGACATTGCCCCAAATCCACGGTCCAGGCTCGATCATCAGTAATGATTCAGGCCTGTATCAGGACTGGTCCATGTTCCAACTCTTGGGCGTGTACTGATCCACGTTACATAACCAGACATCATACTTTTTTTGCATAGGCAAACAGTGGTCCTAAAGGACCATGCATTCTGTCACTGTTATGCACATTAAACTTTACTATGGTCTTTTTTTGTAATCATAATTCAATGAACATTATTATGGCACTAAAATGAAATTAAAATTCAAAAATGGCTTTATTATAATCATTATAATAATTGAGAGGATTGTGGCTACACTAAAGGGAAAAACACTAACAGCTATAAAGTTCTAGTTAACAAGCAAGTCTCAGTATTAATTATTAATAATGAGAGCTGACTAAAAATTTCATCATAGCAAAGCTTTCCTAATTCAATCATCTTCGTCATCATCTTTTGGAATAGAAAGAGAGAAAAAAGAAGAGTAACATTAACATGGTAACACAGGCTTGTAGCCCCTCCCCCACTACGCAGTTTAAACATATGAGCCTTCAGAAAGCTGCTCTCCTCTACAGCCTCTTCCAGCTGTGACTTGGCCTGTCGGAGCTTCTTCTGGATACTCTCCACCTCACTCTCTGCATCTTCCTTGTCACGGCGAAGGTTCCTGACCTTGGCATTGAGAGAATTGACTTGATCTTGGAGACGCTGGGATACGGCTTCCTTATAGCAACAATCACTCTTGGAATAAAGAGAATAAAGTAAGATAAAGTCAAAAACAGTCGAAATTTAATTTTGTTACCTCTTAAAATTCTTCTGGGCGTCACTCCTGCTTTTGGTTTCAGTCTCCAACTCC